TTCAGCGAGAAGCAGTTTCCTCTGAGACAGAAGCAGCAGGAATCAGCTCTTCAGTTCCAAACCCTCTACCTCTGGAAGTACCATGCTCGCCCCCAGAAGTGAATTCCCCCATAGAAAATTCCCCAGTACCATCTGCAAAGCGATATCCCTCTAGAGTTCGGCGGCCTCCCGAGCGCCCCTGGTTTGTACAGGACTTCTAAGGACAGATCTCTCTTAGTGGAGAGGAGTGTAATGTATTAAGATTGTATGATATGTGTTTATTATTATTGTAATGTATAGGTGTTGATTAGTAGGTGTGTTTGTTTGCATTCTTTTGTATGAAATTCTACTTCCTGTCTGTCCTTATTTAAAACTCTGATTTGTGTTTTGAAAAGATAGATTTTGTGCATAGTAAGAATTAAATGGTGTAGTCTGCTCGAGTCTGGATATATTACACTAGAGTCCCACAAACTTTTTGAAAAGGGACAGTCGGGGGCCTGGGCAATAGTCGAGCAGCTGCCCAGGGCTCCGATATAACTAGGAGTGTTTCAATGGATAATGCGCTCATGTGATCCTGTTTCTAATCCTGTCTGTGTATTATATCTATGGAAAAATTTGTGAAATAAAAATCCGCAAAATAACATGCTGATTGTATAGTAGGTGTGGTAATTACATTAAAATTTCAAAATTTTTATTTGCAAATGCAAAAATGCAGCCGAATCGGGAAATTTTATACCTGCGAAATGTATATGGCATATACAGTATACCCCATTATCATCCACTGGTGTTATGATCTCTCTCAGTCGACACTGTACATGTTGTTATATCTTTACATTCTCTATTTGCAACAGATTCCTCTACCTGATTCTGTTACTGGTAGATATGCTCATACTGTATCATCATTTGTTGTTGATCATACTCATGTGTTCCTGATAATAGTAGGAGGTGGTGTAGAGAGAGAACAGAAACATGTAGGAGGAGGAGTAATGGAATGGTTTAGTACACCTGTCACTGATCCTAATATCACAATGGTAGTTGAACTAGGTAATAATTATTAATTATTCTACAAGATAAACATTTTACACATATTACTGTACAAGATGATTTATGAGAAAATAATTTGTGCTTCCATGAAGGAATAACCAATATAAAATTTCCAATTTTGTTTTAATCTGAACCTGCTCTATGATAATTGTGACAGTATATGAACTATGTGTATTACTTTCCACAAACTTGATTACTTTTTGTGTATCACACGAGTACATGTACATTTAGATTTAAGATTCAGGTAGCAGCAAAAACTGTACCATCAGTATCGTTTTGTGCTGCTTTATCGTTGCAAGCAAATTGCTACAGATTTTAAAGTGTATCAAACGATGTATTGCCTTTTGCTATGTTCAACTTTTATGATGATGTGGGGAGTAATTAGTGGGTTTGGTCAACTAAGCCTGCATATGGATTTCTTAAGAGTAAGCCTCCTTTGTGGTTTACTGATTGTTTTCATCACATACAAATTTTATGAATTACATGTACTGTATGTTTCTGTCCTTTTCTCTCCCTCACTCAATCACTAACTTTATTCCTTAATAATTTATTCCTTTAATTTAATTTTATTTTAATTTATTTTAATTTTAATTTATTTTAATTTTTTTATTTTAATTTGTTCCTTTATTCCTTAATAATTTTATTCCTTCCTTTTCCTTCTCCCTCCCTCTCTCCCTCAGTTTTTAATGATGGTCAATGGTCAGTGGGTCCAGTATTAGATTCAGTTAGTATTCCTTTATTGTATGAACAAATACTAAAAGAAAGAAGAAAGGAATCGAATGAATTCATGACAGATAAAGAGAAGGAGCTTCAAGTTATCATTGAGTCTTTACGTCATGATCTACAAGTGGCTAGAATTAACAACCAATCACTTCAGGAAGCACTACTGGAGACTCAATCACTATCAGGTATGTGTACATGTACTGTACATATGATCAGTCTTGCTTTATAAAAGAATAGTTCCGTTTACATTATTAAACTTACATGTTGAAATACATGCACTTTCTACAAAAATGAATGTTCCATTAACCATTGTTTATTTTCATTATTTTATTTCTATTCAAGAGAAGACGATGCTAACATTAGAAACACAATCACTAGAAACTAAGACTCTTCTTACTAAACGAAAGAGAGATCAAGAGGACTCACCACACTCAGGTTAGGGAGTATACATGTAAATGAAACCATAACTATTGGGAAATATTGTATTTATGTAGTAGATTTTATATTGGCTTTTATTTTCTCACTTTTTATTATGTTCAGAATTTAGTGTAATTTTCTGTAGATAATTCTAAGAAGTTTAAAACTGATGAACCAGAGGAGTCAGTGGAGGAGAAACAAATAATGACTGGTTAGTGTATCATCAGTACATAATATTAGATAAGAGAATATTCTATTAATGTAGGAGAATATGAGAAGCTTAAAGCTATAGTTGCTGATAAGGAAGTTTTTATAACTGAACTATTGAAAGGGAAGACACAAGTAGAGGAACAACTTAAAGAAAAGCAGATAGTTATTGGTGAGTCAATAATGCACAGCATGTATTGAATGAGAAAATACATACGTGTGTCTTTGTGTAGATGATTTCAAGACTACAGTATCTGAAAAAGATGCATATATATCTAAACTATTGAAAGAGAAATCACAACAACAGGAGAGGATCACATCCCAAGAGGAGCAATCAATCAAAGAGACTAGTTCTGTTGAAGTTCAGTTCAACTACTTAATACCATCAATGGGTAAGAGGTATGCTAGCAAGTTTGAGCTGATTTGACAAAAATTAATCGGATTTAATTTTTAATGTTACTTAAAAATTCAGTTCAAGTAGTCTTGCCCTGGCTAGTCCCTGTACTAAAGCACAGGGCTTTTGACCAAATTTTGCCAAAAGTGAATAGGAGAGAATTTTTCATTTTTATAATTTTGTGTGATGCATATGCATGTTATTATCAGAGGCGTCGCTGCCTAAGGGGCAGGTAGGGCAGTTGCCCCACCAATATTTTGAAGATCAGTAGCCATTTTTATTAAAATTAGTTATTAATTCATTTAATAACTATCCAGGAAAGACTCAATCACTGCTTACTTCTTCACACACACCAACAACTGACTCATAATGTAGAAATACAGTCGGTAGTTAAGCAATTTATTGCTGGAAATGAACGTCATTATGAATTTTGGGCGTCAAAAGGTAATCAACCAATCAATTAATTGACCAAAATTGACCACACCCATCATGAATATTAATTACATACGGCAAAATTTTTCGCGCGCGAAAAAATTTCCTCTTCTTCATAGACCTAGTGCCCTACCAATGTTTCAAAGCCAGCGACGCCCCTGATTATGTTATATGGCATGAAAGTTTGAGCTGATTCTGACCAAATTAATTTTTTATGAATTTCCCCAAAGCCATGCATATATATGGCCTATCATAACAGGAGAATAAAAAGACACAGCTACATGTCTATTGTAGTGCTTGTCAGATCATGAAGCATGCTTTGT